TTTGTTTACTGGATGTACTGTACAGTATGATTACATGCGTGATTCCTAGTTTCGACGTACTGTGTACAGTAAACTGGATACATGTATTAATAACATATATCTATTATCTACACTGTAAAAGCGTTACAGTGTTGTCAAAGCTCCACACTGTAACGAAAGGATTCTTCAGAAAGGCCGAGGCAGCACAAAGAATTTTGAACTAAGATGCTTGCTAAGTCAGATACGATACGCAGGAAAGCCCGATACTCATGGTAACTTTCCATCGCTCGCCGGTGGCGATGCCACTTGGCATTCCTGCCCTATTGCATGTATCCATCTCTGCAAGCTTGGCCGCTACGAATCTCGCTTTGATTTCCTGCATAGGACGTCCAGGCAATAGGTACGCAAAAGAACTGCGTAAGTACCTACGTTGCAACAAGTTTGTCGGAATCGCACTTAATTGGGTTCCCTCTGTACTATCAACTTCAACTTCTTCAGTTGCATAGCGCACTTCATAATCACATGCTGAAAAAACATAGGATGCTTGGTCACCTGTGCAAGCTATCAAAAAAAAAAAAAAATATCGGGCACAATAATACATCGAAGTAATACTGTAAAGCCATGCAAATGAGCTGGTGTGATTCCCCTGTTTTGCCGCAGCGCTCTTCTGCCATAGCTTCTGGGTCAATTTCCGGAGTCACAATTCTCGTTCGCCAGCTTATCCCGACCATGTGTCCGGGTCAGCTGGGATGGCACGATGTACGTGAGAATCAAACCCTGCCACCAGAGGTTTTAGATTCAGCTTTCAAGTGATTCAAAACGCGTGCCATGATGGGCCATCATTGATGGCACAACCATCTTCTCTAAACGTAGAGGTGAGGAGTGTGAGCAGATTCGTCACGGCGTTGCGGGCCCCGTGCCAGCCTTGGCACGCGCCCCCGGTCCTTACCGCCTATCGACGCTTATGGTACGAAGCAATGGATCAGCTGTTAATTTCTGAAGATGTCACACAGGTCCCACAAAGCAAAACCAACATGCTCGAAAAAACATAATCTTCAGTTTTTAAACGCGCAGTAGAATTTGAATTGGTTTGGTGCTTCCTATCGGCCAGCAAGAACCAGGAAAGTACCAGCGGCGAATTTATTGAGGCTATCTGTTTGGCGACCATAACAGCCGGACAGCCCCGTCATCACAGCACCATTTCCCGATGGGACGCATCCGCGCTATTATACGGAGCACCTTTTCAGGATCAACACGTTCGTCAATCGACGTGCGCAGCAGTGATACGATAGTTGGCATGTGGTTCTCACTTTTCATTTTCACAGCGACTGCCTAAGCACCACGCAGCGAAGCAGCTCCAGCATCCAAGTACAATGGCTCCAGCTCCATTTGAAGTGTCTGATGTGCTCGCTGCTGTCAACGGGTACACCTCCTCCGCTAGTGCGCGCCGTCGCATTCTCGTGACAGGTGCAGCAGGATTCATCGGATTCCACACCGCCAAGACCCTGCTGGCGCGCGGAGACAACGTCGTTATTGTGGACGAGGTAAACGACTACTACGACGTCAAGCTCAAGCAGAGCAACCTCGACTGGCTCTCGACCAATTACGGCGACCGTGTCAGCGTGTATATCGGCGACCTATGCGACGAGCAGCTGGTGCGTCGTGTACTCAAGGAGACGAAGCCCGATGCTATGGTGCACTTGGCGGCTCGCGCCGGTGTTCGTCCGAGCATCGACAATCCGCTTATGTACATCCAGGCCAATGTGGTTGCCACGATGGTTCTGCTGGACGCTTGCCGCGAGTTCGGTATCAAGAAATTCGTGTATGCGAGCAGCAGTTCGGTGTACGGCGGCAGCATGAAGGAGAGTTTCAGTGAGGAGGACATCGTGGACTTCCCGGTGAGTCCGTACGCCGCGACCAAGAAGAGCTGTGAGCTACTGGCGCACACGTACCACCACCTGTACGGCATGGACACCATCGGCCTGCGCTTCTTCACGGTGTACGGACCTCGTGGTCGTCCGGATATGGCTCCGTTCAAGTTCATGGACCGTATCGCGCGTGATGTGGCCATCGACCAGTACGGCGACGGCTCTTCGTCGCGCGACTACACTTTCATCGACGACATCGTCCAGGGCGTGCTGCTAAGTCTGGATCGCGGTCATGGCTGTGAGGTGTTTAACCTGGGTCGTGGTACGCCGGTGCTGCTCACCGATTTCATTGCCATTATTGAGGGACTAGTGGGCAAGAAGGCGAAGATCAACATTCTACCAGACCAGCCTGGTGATGTGCCTCGTACAAGTGCTGACATCTCGAAGGCGGAGCGTTTGCTGGGGTACAAGCCTACGACTCCGTTGGAGCAGGGTCTGGCGAAGACGTGGGAATGGTATTCGGAGTTCTACAACACTCAGCCGACTAAATCTTCGTAAATTCGTCATCAAGTCAACGACATGTAAGCGTTTGCTTAAAGTGTGTGTGGTTGTTGCTGCTATGTATCGCAAGGTGTACAGAGTGAGTGACCCACAGTATATGTAAGAAGATGTCGTAATGTATCGTAAAGTACTGTTTTCCTCGGAGTGTCTAAGTGCGCTTGGATATTTTCTTGGCACTTCTTTTTTTACGCTTGTAGTATTGTTCATGTTTTAACATGAATCATGTTTCCCCGATCTCAAAGCGCCATTTGCTGTAATTACGGTAGCAATTAAAATGACAATCCGTTTGAATGATGCGCTTCCAAGTAGGTCATTATGTTCATTCCAGCGGACCCCGAACATCAAGCAGCTTGATGAAATGGGTGAAATGGACGCAAGAGTTTTGGTGATCGCTGACAATACATTACCTATATAAAACCGTTTGGTTTTTTGGTAGCTTTATAATATTACTGTAAAACCTTATACAAGTAAATTAAAAAGTAGTAAACGAATACAAATTATACTAAATATCTGTAAACTTATGCAAGCTCAAATCGAAATTAACTGTGAGTCACAACTAAGCTTGCATAAGTTTACAGAGCAATAATTAAGGTTTGTAAAAGTTTACACAGACATATTAAGTTTGAATAAGTTTACAATAATTCAATACGCCAATTTTTTGCGGTAATTTTACGGTAATACTTCGTACATTTTAAAATTAAATTTAGGGTTTGATTTCTTAAATAGTAGTAATGGAAAAAAGCAATTTTCTAGAGTGTTTTTAGTAAAAGCACTTCAGAAATTTTGTTTATTTATTTAGTAAGAA